GATATGTCAAGCAAGGCAGTTTTTCTCACTTTCAGGGCCAATCAGGGTCTCGTCGACCCTAGGGCTGGGAGAGACCTCGTGGGCCTTGAATCCCTGAACCAAGAGTCAGTCGACTTGGCTGAGCTCGGCCTACACTATGTCGAAATCCCTTCTCCAGTGCGACCCAGCAAGTCGGCTCACGGGGTAGGAGGCCCTGCCAAGGTGCTCAGAGTCATGTTGTACCCATTGTGCCTTGGAGGCGTGCTGGGGATCGTGGAGAACACGGTGTTGTAGGACAATGTTCCGCACATCACCAGCGTTTGTCTTCTGAATTTTCTGCCGTGTGTAATCGACTTGCCTCAAAATATCATGCAGTCGAACACTCTCGAAGAGTCGATTCCTTTGACTCGGCTGAGGTCCGATCATCGAATGACAGACATCGTCAGGCCAGTAAACTCAGGATGCCAGGTGCCTCAAGTAGCACTAAAGCGCTACCCGTTTCTCAAGCCAGACTCCTTCTGCCTTGGAGGCTCTCGGCCTCCGGTGATGTCAGACACTGGGGCGATCTCGTCGTACATCGGTCCGTTCTTTATCCTAGTGCTTGTGGTCATGGGGGTATTGAGGCTCCACTCCCGAAGCTCAATGACCAAAAGGACTCCAGAGAGGCGGTCAATCCAGAAGGCCTTCGGGTTCCCCGAGGCGCCGGGTGACAGTGACTCCTGCAGGGCCAGTAGCGGGCTCAGCTAGCGGGCCCCAGGATCGGCGGGGAAAGCAAAGGACCAGCAACCTGGTGGAAGAGAAGCAGGCGGCAGCCACCGTGCCAGGGGGTTGTCAGGGCTCCTCGAATCCGTAGCACGTTTGGGCTCGAGCTCAAGCTTCAGGCACTCCAGTCGGTCTTAGCTTTCCAGCTATCCAAACCATCTTTCCTCGAGGTCTCAGGCACGCGATGGTCGGCCGCGGACTCGTGGCGGGGCTGCTCGTAGCGTGTCTGGCGACGGAGGCGGAAACTACCAAGAAAAACAATCCAGGGGCCAAAAGGCGACGGAGGAGTTTCTCCGACGTCGGGCCGATCAGGTCGCACAGGACTCCGAGACCGAGACGATCGACAGCACCGACACGGCGCCTCCTCCAGGCGCTCAGGTCCCAGGCAGCCCCGACGTGGAGGCGGTGATTCCTCTGCCCGTGCCCATGGATACGTCATCTCCGGCGACCTCAGGTGAAGCGATTTCGATGGCAGCGAATTCATCCAGTGGCAGTCTCGGGGACCTCGGCCTCGAGCATGACCGGTCAGCCCAGTGGTCCTGCGCCGTGTGGCGCTGCGGCGGCTGCGATGGAGTGGCCTCCGCCACCACCAGGGTCGCGGCCCCCGTTGCCCAGCGGCCCTCCCCCGGGATGGACGGCTCCGTTATCGAGCTCGGGCTCCGGGTAGGAGCCTTACCTGTGGGGATGAACGCCGACAGGGGAAACGGCGGTTCCCATGAAGCCGCCGCCCAAGCCGGCGCCAGGATGCCAGCATCCGCCCGAGGCTGTCGAGTACTACGGCAACCAACATGGGAGTGGGAGTCGATGCATTCGTTGTGGTCAGAGGCTGGTCTGGGCACCTCGTCGGAACGCAGCTGGGACAACAACGAGCCGTCAGTCCGCAGCGGAGGCAGCCCGTGCCGCCACGTCCTCGGCTCAGAAGGCTGTCGACATCCTCCAGAACCGACCCGTCCTTCAGGGCAGGAGGGGCGGCCCTGACGACGATCAACAGCTTGGCTGCCCCACTTCAGGGGCTGCAGTGGCAGCTGCAAGGGATGCCCGAAGGTCGGAAGGCGCTGGGGAACGTGCAGTCGGTGCTCGATCGGATGCACGAGGTCATCAACACCCAGCAGCATGCACCCTCCTACGTCAAAGAGGGACTCCAGCAGATCTACTACAAGTCCGTGGTGCAGATCAAGCGCACACTGGGGAGTTCCGAGTTCGGCGAGGTGGTCGACCAGCTGCAGACGACGGTGACCACCATGGCCTCGACTCTGAGCAACATCGAGGCCTCCATCGGACAGTTGGCGGCGATGTGCAACGCGGCGATGGGCGACCCCTGGGTTCAACAGGAGCCCCCGGAGAGCGGGAGCGCATCGTCGTCGGGCGGTGGCGTTCCAGCGCCTGGAGCTGGGCACAGCCTCCAGGAGAGCGGCCAATCACCGACGGAGACGACGACGACGACGACGACGACGACGACGACGACGACGACGACGACGACGACGACGACGACGACTGTGCCAGCGCTGGACCTCGGAGAGCTGCCGCCCATTCCGGAGGCCCGAGGTGGATGCGTGGGAGGTTCTGCCCCACGGGCTCTGGACCTCGAGGGAGGTGCGCGCATTTTCCTCTATTCATGTTTCATGCGGTGTTGCGAGCACCAGTGCGGCGCTCATGTCGCCAAAGGGGTCCCTGACGAAGGCTCCTCGAGGTCTCCTCTCGATCAATCTCCCTCATCATCATCGATCACGTCACAGCCTGGGGCGATGGAGCCAGTGGCTCGACGGAGACAAGCACGACGACAACCACGAGGTCTCCCGCGGGGCCTCCGTCCGGAAGGCTCTGGAGCGAGGTGCAGCGGAGCGCTTGGGGCTCCAGGCGTCGACCCTCGAAGGTTCGGGGGTCCTGGCGGTCTCGGAACGACCCAAGGGTCGCGTTCATGGAGGTCTCTTCTCCACCTAGGATCGCTCCTGAAATTGGGCGCTCACGGGGTCCTCTCGGGAAAAGGCCCAGCTGGGACCTCAAGCTAGGCTGGGACGCGTCCAAGAAGTCCCACGTCCAAGAACTCCAGAAACACTCCGAGGAGGACAAGCTGGAGGTAGTGTGGCTGTCTTCCGAGTGTAAGGCTTTCTCAGAGAGCAATCGACTGAACAAAGATTGGATGAACCCTCAAGATTGGGAGAACCTCGTGGCGACGGGACTCCACGATCTGATCCTTTGCATGCGGATTGCGCAGCACCAAGTAAACCAAGGCCGCTACTTCGCCTTCGAACATCCTCTCTCGGGCCGGGCGAAAGGGGGGGAGGGGTTTGAGAATCACCTCACGTAACTGATTTTCCCAGCGCCTCCCGGCGCTGAGAGGCGCTTATGTATCGAGGAACGGTCCCGGCGGCGGGGCCGAAACCAGCTGCATGCAGCAGATGTCGTAGCCCCCCCTTTCCCAATCCCCCCCTTTCGTTCGGTCCGACTATCTACGCCTCTTCGTGGCGAGCGAGGGTTGTTGAGTGCGTCTCGTCTCCTCCAGGAGTTGAGAAGACCAGAGTGGACACGTGTCGGTTTGGCCTCTCCGTGCGCGGGCCGGAGTCGAGCAAGAGACCCACGGGCATCGTCTCCAGCCATCCCCACTTGCTTCGGCTCCTGGACGGCCACCTGTGCACAGGTGGCCACCAGCACGCTATCCTGAAGGCCGCTCTGTCCCCGCGAAGGCCGCGAGGCATCCGGCTCCGTTTTCGAGATTGGTGGCTCGGGCCGTGGCAGAGCAGTGGGGCGGCGCTTCCGTGTGCAGTCGGCCCTCGTGGGCCGGACTGGACGAGGCTTTTCCCGAGGGCCCAGGGGCGGCGGGGCCCCGGGGGTCCCAGGGAGAGGAAGTCTCAGAGCAGAGCGGTGACGAGCCAGAGACGAGGCCGGCCACGGACGGCCAAACTCCGGGGGCGGACCCCGGACCCACGGAAGAAGAGAAACGCCTTGTTGTCAAGCTCCACGTCAGCATGGGGCATCCCGACAACAGGAAGTTCGTCCGAGTGCTCAGGGCCGGGGGGACGAAGCGACGGGTGCTCCAGTGGGTCCGCAGAAAGTTCCAGTGCTCAGAGTGTGCCGAGCGCACTCGCTCAGGCGCCCATCGACGCGTGGCGCTCGGACTTTCAGGCTTACCCACATAGTTGGTGTGGACCTTTTCTATCTAGAGTTCCAGGGAAGAACTCACCCCTTCCTCAACCTGGTCGACCACGGCTCCAATCTTCAGGTCGTGACTAGGCTCCCCAATGCCCAAGCCGCCTCAGTGAGGTCAGAGTTCGGCAAGTGTTGGCTGCGTCCTCTCGGCGCTCCCCGCCTTCTCATTTCTGGCGGAGGCTCGGAGTTCGGGGCTCGTTTCGGTAGAGGTCTGGAACAGTGGGGAGTGTGTCATTATATTTGCGATGCGGATTCGCCGTGGCAGAACGGCAGTGTCGAGAGTCACGGCGGGTGGGTGAAGGGCCGTGCGAAGTCCGAGCTTGAGGCTGGCTCCAGCCTTCCAGTGAATCTTTCAGAGCTGGACGACCTCATTCGCGAGCTCGTGGCGCACAAAAATCGATTTTGGCATTGAGGGGGCTTCTCTCCCCTCCAGCTCGTGCTTGGTGAGAACCCTCGCCTCCCCCATGACCTCCTCTCGGACGACCACCGAGGGCTCCCAGGCTGGCAGGACACTCTTAGGCCCTCCACGGAACAGAATGCCGCCGGTGCCGAGTTCGCCAGAGCTCAAAAGGTGCGGGCTACGGCCCGCCGCCTGGCCATGGAGGTCACGAATCGCGACGACATCTCCAAGGCTTCTCGGGCCAGGACTCCTGGGACCAGGCGTTTCACCCCAGGGCAATGGGTGCTTGTTTGGCGTCACTTTTCCAGGACCTCCTCCCGGGCCGAGGCTCTTGGGCGGAGGCGAGAAGGCTGGACCGGACCCGGTGTCGCGGTGCTGTGCGAGGGCTCGACCGCGTGGGTGGCCGTGCGGTCTGGGCTGTGGAAATGTCCCCTGGAACTGGTTCGTCTGGCGAGCCCGGAAGAGTACGGACTTGAGCTCGCCCAGGATCCCAAGCGGCAAGACCTGCTCCAGGCTGCCAGGACCAGAAGAGTCTCCGCTGTTGACGCCCAGAGAGAAGGCTCTCCACCCGACGAAGCGTGGGACGAGCCAAGGCACCCCGATCCTGACCCGGGTCCCAGCATCCCGGAGAAGGCTCCTGCTCCAGCCGAGCGTGAGCCCGAGGCCTCTGACTCCCGACCTCCCCCTCTCTCCCCCTCTGGTCCTTTCTCTCTCGGCCCCGACCTCTCCCGCTTCCCTCGCGCCACCAGGCCTCCCGCATCCGCGGCCGGCTCGGCAGCCGCCCAGGCAGGCTCCGAGCGGAGGAGGCTGCCGTCCATCTCCGAGGAGGGCGATCCCAGCGCGGGGCCGGAGCCGTCATCCTCTCCTCCCACTGCTCCTCCCGCGGACGGGGGTGACGAGCCTGCTGTCCTCGACGGTCCTCCTCCTCCTCCACCTTCCGTCAGTGCTGCTCCTTCTCCTCCGTCTCCTCTCCCTCCTGCTCCAGGGGCTCCTGACTCCGGGGAGGGACGCACCAGGATTCGCAGGCTGACGCAGCCATCAGACGTGCCGCTGTGCATTCAGGGTCGGATGGCCAGAGCTGCGAGCAGCCCACTGGAGCTCAAGAGGATGAGATACCAAGAACCGAGCGTCTCTTCCCCCGATCACATCCCTCTCTCCTCCTCCTCTTGCCTCCGTTCCTTTAGGTGAGTCCCGCCCCGAGGCCGGTACCGGGTCAGGAGAACGTGGCCTCACTACGGGAACGGAGGCCCGCCGCTCCATGTGAGAGCGCGTCGATGGCATCGAGAGTCGTTCCGGGCTCGCGTATTGGGAAACGCTTAGAAAAGGCCCTTCGGGACACGCTGAGAGTTCAAGCAACTCGCGCCGAGGCCTCTGGACCGCCGCCGAAGCGATCTCCAGGGCTCCCCTGCGGCTCCGGCTTCGAATCTAACTACCCTCTCTTAGCTCTAGGGAGCTGTCCAGGACTCGACTTTCCTCTCGGCCCCCGGGGAGCACGGCGATGAAGGCGGTGTCTTTGCTGCGAGCAGGGGAGGGGAGATACCGTTGAAGCGGCTTACGCCCGCCCAGAGAGCGAAGTTCGAGATCGCCGACCGTAGCGAGTGGGACGCTGTGAAGGCCACGGGAACTGTAGAGATCGTTCTGCCAGGCCCGGACAGGGAGATCAGGAGGCTGCAACCTGAACGTATCGCGCCAAATAGGATGGTCCGCAGGTGGAAGCCGACGGAAGGAACCTTCGCGGAGCCAGTGTCGAAACCCAGGTGGTGTGTTCACGGCCACCGCGACCCCGATTCAGGATCTCTCGAGGTTTACGCCCCCACCCCGCAGACATCCTCCATCATGATGTTCATCCAAGAGATGATTAACAAGGGTTTCCTCGGAGACATTGCAGACGTGAAGAACGCATTCTGCCAATCGGACAGGATGCATCATGCCCAGGGTGAAGCGTATGTGGAGCCATGTGAGGGGATCGAGCTGGAGCCAGGATCACTCATTCGTCTCCTCGTGAACGTGTATGGGCTCGACGACGCTCCCATGGCATGGAGGCGCACTGTTATCAAGCATCTAAAGCTGCACAGCTTCACTCGTAGTCTGTTAGAACCAGGCTGGTGGGATCGATACGAGGAGGGAAGGATCGCTAATGTGATGCTGTTGGAACTCGACGATTACATGATCGCCTGCGACAGACCCATATCGCGGGCGTGTGTCGGGAAGGTCCTAGACGGTCGCTTCTGGTTCGGGAAATACCGAGACTGTCACGGTGGACCTTTGGAGTTCGGTGGCCGACGCATCACAATGACCCCCCAGAGGACGACCATAGATCAGGAGAGATAGATTCTGGAGGAGATCAAGCCCCCCCCCCTCCTCCTCCCTCATCCGCCTCCTCCACCCTTCCTCCTCCTCCCACTCCTCCTCTTCCTCCTCCCCCCCCCCTCGATTTCATATAAGTCGTCTTCACGGTCGGCGGCACCGGCCGCAAGGCCTTCGCAATAGATTATGGAAGAGATCAAGCCCCTGTTCATGGCCAAGGGCCACCGTGCTCAAAAGAACGCCTCCGCTGGACACTCCATGATTTGAGGCACTTCGTTCCCTGTTCTATAAACTTCATTGGGTCGGGAGGGAGTCACGTCTCGAAGCTGCTGAAGTAGCAAATTTCCTGGCCAGTAAGCTTAAGCGCCCAACACCGAAGATGTCACGAATGCGAGCAAGCTCGCGAGACACCTCCCGGCGGCGGCTTCCCGAAGGTTGACGATCTAGCGCCTGGACCCCGAGAAGATGTCGTTCGTGTCGTTCTCGGACGCAGGAGGGGTAGGATCGTCAGATGGTCTGGACGACGAACGGGGTTTGCTGGTCGACCCTACACAGACAGCCTGGATGGCGTCGGCTGCCGACATGTCGGTGATCGAGAATCACGCAGTCCGCGCCTCGAGTCTCGGCTGGCGCAACTGCAACACAAGCATTGTCTTCTGCCGTCGCCGACGTGGAGTATCTACCGGTGCTGTATCGTGATACACTCTTTCGTGATGTCGATCTTCCAGAATGCGTCCGAGCATCTGTTCATGTTACTACAGTCCTCGGAAGGGGCTGTTCTCTAGGCGCCAGGGAGCGCCAGGCTCAAGGCATCGCTGCGCAGTCAATCTACGACACGGTGAAGTCTTTCGCCTGGATATTCACAATCCCTGCAAGATGTTCCTTTTATATATCATGGTCAGTGGGCTCCGCAGATGACATGGGGAAGAAGGGATCATGCCGTCAGGCATACACTAAGGTAACACTGAAGGGAGGAGGCCAGCCCGCCGGCCGACGCACGCGCACGCGCAGCAGGCTCGCTCCTTTTCCGTTTCCCTGGAGCCAAAGTGGTATAGCTGCGGAAGAAGAAGCAGTCAGTACATCGGGCAGCGCGCGCAAGGCGAAGGACCAGACAGGGCCACAGGATGGTGGTGCGGAAGGGATGCATTGACTCCCCCCGCGGCGGGGTCCGTAGAGCCGCTCCGACCCCCAACCCACCTGACCTGCACATATGCACAGCCACCGGAGCGAACCCCAAAAGCATTTTACCGCTTAACGATGGTTGCCAGGGGGCGGAAGGTCGAAGAAACCAGACGTTCCCCGCCTGAGCTAATATTTCCCAGCTCAGGCCACAATGCCCGTGCACACCTGGTGCACCCGCTCAATGATGCAGTTTGGACCAGCATCGACTATGTCGAACTGGTTCTTTTGTGCTGCGTTACCTTTGCCAACGACTTCTCCAGTCACGAGAATCATCCCACGTGTCTCTCTTACTCCAGTTCCACGGGTACTGATCTCTGGAGTAGTTGTCATGCCTATGTTCTCTTCTGCTTGAGCTCCAGCTACTTGGCTCGCTATTGCCCTGGCTCGTCTCGCGCGGCCTCGCCTTCGACGCAGGCGGCGGTGGGGGCTCTGGCAAGGCACTCGGCATCCCAGAGTCACGCTTGAACTTGTCGCTGCATCCGTTCAGACTAAACCACTGCCACGTTTTGTCATGGCCAGTGACTCGCTGATGACGAGATACATATACGTAGTACCCTTGAATTTCTCCATCCTCATGCTTGCCCTCGCAGTCGACCGTCGCGTCGTGGCGGTCGCCCACGGCCCGGGGCCGCCGCCATCGCTCGCGCGGCCGCCACCCAGCTCCACAGCCGATCTCGGTATAACAGGCTCATCGGCCCAAGACTCATCTGCCCACGACGGGATTCTGTCATAATCAATCCAGCCAGATTGGCGCCCGACGCAGCTGGGCCAGCGGACACCCGAGCATAGGGGGCGGTCCTATAGGGCCGCCTTCCTTCCCGGCACCTCGGCCTCGATTCTGGGCGGGGAATGTCGCTGAGTTCGCTGCCCCAGACCGGCGGCGCCGCTCGGGGTGCTCTCTTCAACGGTTGTGGTTACAGCATCTGCTGGAGACTCAGCTGGAATTGCCTCTGCGGGAGAATCGGCTGGGCCGCCCCCCCCCTTTTCTTCTGGGGGCAGTTGGCAATTCCAACGGCGCCGCCAGAATTGAAGACTCCACTGCGGCTCTTGGCAAGACAGACCTTGACACTAGAATGAGATTCTGTGGACGTATGCATGAAATCCATAGCTTTTTGGATACCTGAGCAATTCCGCCTCGCGGTCTCTGATACTTGCTTTCCTAATCCTTTGGTCCATTCACGAAGTAGGTCGACTGACTCGACCGCGGACCTAATCCGACAATCCAAAGAATAAGCATCGTGCAGAACTTGACTCGACCGCGGATCACGCTGCACCTCGTATCCCGGAAATGAAACATGATTCCCACAGACATGAACCATAATGTTACTTCTCGCACAGCTAACACAATCCGCCCCCATCTTCCGTGAGCGCAGACTCGATCACATGGTTGATTCCATATGTAGCCCACAAGCTCGGACAACCCTGGCGGCACATTATGAATGATATCTTTGTCCAGTGGCATAGTAGTTGGAACTGTCGACTAATATTCAAGTATGAACTGCGTTGCAACTTTGATAACTTGTGCCCTATCGCATGGGTCATCAATGCGCTTATAGCTAGACATGCAGCCAGAAATAATAAGAACATCAAGCCGAAAGGGTAGCGTTCTCGTCGAAACAATCAGCTGATGACGCTGGGCTATATGTTGACTGCATATGCCGTCCTACGTCGCAGCCTTCTCGTCACGTGCTAATATTACTTCATCAATACGGCTGGGCCGATGATGAAATTCAACAACCACCTGGAAATCTATATCCCCTACCTGGTTCGACGCAGAAACTCGGCTGGCGTCATTCAAGTGAACCGCTAACACTTGAACTGATGGAATTCTTACTCCTTTTTCCGCCACCTCTTGTCCCCATTGGCCCCAGCACAAAAAAAGAGAGAGAGAGAGAGAGAGAGAGAGAGAGAGAGAGAGAGAGAGAGAGAGAGAGAGAGCAAGCGCAGAGCATCTCATCGGACGAGCGTATTGGTCCAGATCTGGCGTCCAGATTAATGGCCACCACTGGGCAGCGGTTGGGGCATTGTCCCCATGCTTGGACTTCGGCCAGTCAATGAATCGGAGCTTGGGTGGTTCCACATACTGGAAGTATGGCCCATGACACGCCGGCGGCTGTGCCGAGGCGCTGTCAGGTCTCCAGGAAAGGACGGCCCCTGGCTGCGAGTTTATAGACGTGCAACCTGCCAAAGCAGCCCGGGAACGTATCTGCGCGTCGCTAACCCACTTGCGCTGGCGTTCTTCAGCCTTGTTCAAATTTTCCAGCGCATCAGAAGAGCTCTCGTTCATTGCTTTCAGACTGTTAGAACTGATCTAGGAGCCGCTCTCCCCTCTTCGGGGGGCATCTAGACGTGGAGCCAGCCCTAGGCTCGTCCATGCAGCAACCA